ACTCAGCTGGCAAACTCGCGCTCTGATTGGTCGGGGTTTTTCGTTAATATCTCGGTAACGAAGCCTCAGATTACATTGTTGCTATGGAGAAACTTGTTCCAATTCATCCCCCGAGTGTCCCATTTCCAGGTCGGACAACATTTTTGTTGCTCCCTGTATAACCGATTCTAGTACCGGAACCGTAAAGCCAGTCATAACGTAGAACCGGTTCTAGTACCAGTTTCGAACCGCTATTATATAAACGTTTCTTCTTCCATCCCTGCCCCCCGCCCGTATTTGCAATCGGAGACAATTAGAAATATTCTTCTCTCGCAGTAATAGTGCTTCAGTTTCCATCAATGGTTTTTCCAGTGGATTGTGTTCGCCCTTTGCTGAACTGATATCAAATTCAGAACTTTTCATTATTATTAGAATCAGTAATGCTAGTTTCATACAGTCACGGTATCGTATTTCTTTTCTGTCGACCCAACGCGGAAAAACTATCGTTTGAAAAATGCCGACTGCATAGGTATTTTTGTTTTAATGTACTATGATCAGGCAATTCCACCCAATCATCGAGATCGTAGTTTACCAGCCACGTAATACATCGATCATTGTCATTAGTAGGGAACGAATTGGATAAAGTGCCGTCCGTTGCATTACGGTTTATTAAACCGCAATTATGATATGAACATTTCTTAAAATGTATTGTACTGCTCTGACGTTCCATGCTCTACGAATTCTGTCAATATTCAATATAAAAATTGGAAAACGCAAAAAAGCTATACAGGGTGTAACAAAAATGTTGTCCGACCCGGAAATGGGGGACTCGGGGGGTCAATTGGAACAACTTTTTCCTTAGCAACAATGTAATCTGAGGCTTCGTTACTGAGATATTAACGAAACATCTCGACCAATCAGAGCGCGAGTTTGCCAGTCGAGTTCCCGCGCTAGCGGTGGCTACGCGCTGCGACTGGTGGCAACGTTACCGCGGGAACTCGGCTGGCAAACTCGTGCTCTGATTGGTCGAGATGTTTCGTTAATATCTCAGTAACGAAGCCTCAGATTACATTGTTGCTAAGGAAAAACTTGTTCCAATTCATCCCCCGAGTGCCTCATTTCCGGATCGGACGACATTTTTGTTACACCCTGTATATAATACATAAGAAAGACAATATGTATAAGAATGCACTACTGATAATAACAACACGCAGACAAAACAAACAGTTAAACAAATTGGTACCTTCTACTAACCTCTCTAGCTCTTCTAAACTTCCCGCGCTGAAGTTACTAACACATATTTTTGACACTTATGGGTAGGAATATATTGTACATGTATAAGTTATTTAGTTTTACTTCTGGCCACAAGACCGCGATGGCATAATTTCACACTGAATCGGCAACGTCGGGTATTGACCAGGGATGGAAAAAGTAGCATTTGTGTGAAAGCGCTCCTATACCGAGACAAGAAGCGTTACCACTTTACGACTGACGCACAGTGGGGTATTTGACCCGAAAATCTGGCCAAAACCCCAAATTTTATCTTTGTTCAAAATAGATGAAACTTTGTCTCTATGTTCCTAAGAATGAATAAAAGTAAAATGCTATCTTGGTTTTTCGAAAACAGCAGTATTTAGCAACAAATTGAGGCATGAAAGTGAACAATTTTTGTGCTCGAAGAAAATGCCAGGAAACCTATATTAAGAAAGTGATTTATTCCAAGTTAAGGAAGTGCAATAACAACATATGTAGGATATAGAGGAAGGTATGTAGAGTAATTTGGCACCTTGTTTCCTTGACTTTTTTGTATGGTTTTGATAAAATCAGTATTTGAAAACAATGTTTCTTTTTCGTAAAATCAAGTATAAAACATTGAATTACTTTTTTGCACCCCAAAGCACCCCTGTACTTTCGATATATTTTTATCCTTGGATATTGCTTTATATATTTCTTGAAAAATTAGGTGCTAAGGGTGCTAAAACTTCATTTCTGTTCAAAAGTCCTCACTTGTGCACTAGTGAAAAATTATTGAAATTCAATGTTCCATCACTTTGGTAATATTCGTCAGAATTTGTTTAAATGAAAGAAAAATTAAAGCTTGAACCTTCTACTTTTTGACCCTTTCATTCGATTTTATTTAACTCGGTGTCCAAGAGGTAAAATCTGCCCTTATAAAGAGGGCTTTCAAATTCTAAAATTTTGTTCATATTTGAGAGCGGATGTTCCTCATAGGCAACAGTGTTCGGAATTTTGCTAGTATTTCAAAAATAATAATTCTTTGCCAATGAAGTTATGGCCATTTACAGAAACGCCTGCCTCTTTATGGTTTCATGTCTTTCGTGCATGGCCAAGTGGTCAGCGTTTCTGTAAATGACTATAACTTCGTTAAAAAAACATCCGTTTTGGATGCAGTTTAGAGGTGTGGATGATAGATGCTTGGAACTGGGTGAAAGAGAGTGAATGTTTGTTTTAAAGTATCGAGTGAGCGATCGAATGTTTGGAACCGAGCAGAAGAGATCGAATGTCTTGACGATTCTTAGAATGCACGTGGAGTTTGTAAACTGTTTGTAACACATTGTAGTGCATAAATATGTCTGCATGTGAGATTCCTGAAAATTAGAAATTATTAGGACAGAGTCAATCTAAATGCGGAAGTCGAAATATAAGCATTATGTTATACGAAACGTTTGAGTTGCAACTATGTAGCAAGTAGTGAAAAACATAATTATAGTTAGTGTAGTGAAGTAGTGTAGTCCGTGAAGTGTCTAAGTTTATTATTAAAAACTATTAAAAACTAGTGTGTTGTGTACGTTTTGCACCTGTTTCGTCCATTGATTCTGCAAAGAAGTGTAATAAAAAACATGTATGATACAGAGGCAGGTGTGTAAAATAATTCTTTTCATCACCCCAGAGCACCTCTTCAATTTTTATTCATTTTTAATCATTTTTAATACCTGGACAGTGCTTTATATAATTCTTAAAAAATTAGGTGCCAAGAGGTGCTTAAACTACATATTTTTTAGTATTTTGTTACAAATTTTATAAAATTCGTATTTCATTGAAACTTTAATGGGAGTTTTTAGTCAAATGTTTTAATTTACTGTAATCTTAAGGTCCTTCCGAAGTTATAGTGATTTCAAGAAGAAAGTTGTTCGAAATCATACAAAACTCTAAGTGCACCAATTTTGATCAAAAGTTGGATGTTATGGAGAATTATCTTTTGAAGAAGCAGAATTATTCCGAAACCGAAATCCAAAGACATTAAGCACCAACTTACTTTTATTAAATCGAATTTTAAAGGTAAACTAATGAATACATGAATGTGTGGATGTTGTGTTTCATAAATATTTAAGTAGACGATTTTTCAAACATTATGAATTGAAAGCGGTTATGAAATTGATACTGCAAAGTTCACATCTTACTTTATGGATACAGCGAAACTTTATATGGAATTTTATATTCATGGTATCCTATGTCACAGACTATCCATAAAATTTTGGTGCGTGGTGCATTGGTCATTAAAAATTCATTGTTGCCAATTGGTCAATTGTCAGAGGAAGCAGCAGAACGAAGAAATAAGCATTTTCGTAATTACCGACAAAATTTTTCTGGGAAGTGTTCAAGAATATCTTGTAATCTAGATGTTCTGAATCGATTACTATTGAGTTCAGATCCACTCATAAGCAGTTGAAGAAAACTTCCTACGAAAACAAAATGCCATTTCTTACCAGAAACTCTTGGTATGCTGCTTCCTACGTCTTTCACTTTGTTTGGTAATGAAGTTGATTGTGATGTTAATTCCGATAACCAATCAGAATTATTAGAAGAATCAATTCCATTAGAAGAATCATTACATATTTAGATTTATATTCTGTTCTATGTAAATATTTGAATTTAAAAATTATATTTTACTAACATAACATGTAAAAAACGTTAATGTACCTCAAAATGTATCAAATGTATACATGTAATTGCAAAAAAATATTGTTTGCACTCCGTAGCACTTGACGAACATCAAGGAAAAGTACAGTTTGGCACACTTCTATTTAAGGGTGAATTTTACCCTCTAGACAATGATTTTGATAAAACTGATTTAAAGGACTAAAAATTAGAAAGTTTAAACTTTAAAATGGTTCTTGTTTCATCAACTTTGGATGAATAGTAACAAAGTTATGAGAGTTTGAAGATTGAATAAATTGTAAAATAGTTTTGGCCAGCTTTCCGGGTCGAATACCCCACTGTGCGATGGTAGGTACTTCGAGCGCTTCTGTTACTGAAGTGATTTCACGATTCGGACCCTAAACTGAGTGGCGCTACCGCTAAAAGAGCGCTTACATACCGCTTCGCAACGAAAGCTTCGTTACTTTTTCCATCCCTGGTATTGACACTGAAATGGTACAGGGTCTTCTGACGCCCTCGAAGCATGGGACAGAAAATTACATTGCATGTTAGGTCTATTCTTGTATCTCGTCTGTGGTCAGGCCTGATTTAGAGCATGATAGTAAAGGGTAGACTGTCGGTGCATTATCAAAACAGGGTTACTCTTATTACGTTTTCCATGCACGACGAACATCTACAGACTCGTGTATAATTTTTGCCTAATAATCCTTTATTATAAAGAAATTGGTCAAAATCACAGGGATGATTTATAATACAGGGTATTTCACTAAAACTGGAGCATCTAAATATCTTCGTTGCTTTTAATAATATTAAATTTGCTTTAATAAAAATTAAAAATTTTATACGGTCATTTTTTATCGAATTTTTTCCAGGTCAGTCGGATGTTTTCGGCAGGAAAGCATATATTTTATGCTTCCTCAGTTTGTAGCGGGCGTTAAATGACGCATTCAAGTATGTCTGAGAGATAACCTTAAAGTCACCTTGAACACCAAAGTGATCACATTCTAAGACAGTGTTTAAATTTTCTTTGCTTCTTTTACTTAGTTCAAATTTTATTCAACAAAAAATGCATGTCTTCTTAATTTTCGAACGTTAAATGTGTTTGTTCTTTCTGTTTTCAGATTCTGTAAAGTGATGGAAGATTTTACGTCAGCTAGTGGTGAAGGTAAGCCCCCGTTATATCACAGTACATCTTATACTCACATCCTGAGTAAAAGCATTCTAATTAGACTGTGGATTTTATGCAATTTATAACATAGAGAAATGTGCGAAATACAGTAAAGGACAAAAATACGGTTGAGTTTAATATATTTTTATTTTATTTGTTTCCCACTAAAATCCCCGTGAAAAGTAGGAATATTCTCTTTTTATTCCTGTCTACATAAATCACTTCATAACATGACATTTTGCATAAAAGTTCGCAGTCTAGTTATTATAGCGATATACACTTTAATTATCTTGTTTACATTCTTTATTTCATACATAAATGAATTTCCATTATTAAAGTGTTGATTTATAACCAGACTGCGGATTTCTATGCAAAATAAAATTTTATAAAGTAATTCTTGAAGACAAGAACAAAAGTAGGAATTTCTACCTTCGCTTAAGTATGTTATTGAGTTAAGAATAAAATAGAAAACTCGTTGCATTTGATGAAACATTTGTCTTTTATTGTATTCCACAGAACTCTAGAGTCCATAAATGCATAAAATCTGCAGTCTATTTATAACGTAGATTTAGTAATAATTCTATTACAAATATTGAAACAAAATTCAAATTTTTTTAAAATGATTTCTTACTGCGCAAAAGTGGACGCAATAGTTAGTACTGGGTTTTATCTAAGTTCATACTGATACAAATACAAATATGACACAGTAATCTCTCCGAAATCTTGAATCCTATGTAAATCCCCTCCAATTCTTTGAGTCGCTGAACCTGCGACCTGTTGAACGAGTCTGACCTCAGTGCATCACAATGTATTACTGTGGAAACTAATAATGCAATATAAAAGTATTCTTATGGTTTATTATTTGGTTGCGAAGATTTTAATGTTGGGTTAATGAGGCTCTTCTGAAACGAAACTGAGAGTACACGCGAATTAAACGGATTTATTTTTTATTTTTAATTCTAGTCAGAAGTATGTCGTATTTTGTCTCTTTTCCTATCGAAAACATTTGCTAATAATTTAAAAGATGTAGCAATTTTCTTTTTCTTTTCTGGATGTTACATCTTCCTTTTTAGAGAAATATAGAATTAGTGGTATAAAAAAATTAGAACGACAGATTCGATTATAAAAAGAAGTATTAAATGTTATTATATATGCTCCTAATATTAAGGTTTTATTGTAATTTCATAATCTATGAAACATATATTTTAGTTAATTACTAAATACAATAAATGTTAGGTTGTTGCAAAACTTGTTTTTCGATAAAACTGTATAGTACATATTTAATTATTTTTAAATAGTATTCCTAGAAACTCTTCCATAAAATCAATTAAGTCTCTCCTTTTTTTGTACAATGGTAAATCTGTCAGATGGAATTTATGTAGCAACATAATAAGAATAGAAATTCAAGCACCTTATTATAACATCAATCGAATCAATACATAATTAAAGTATATGTATAACAAGATTAGAAAATACTTTCTTCCCACGTTCCGTAGTTGTAAAACTATCATTTATACATTTCTCTGTTTAAGTATTATTATTTTATCAGTTTCGACAAATTAACTGAACTCTATAGAATAAGTTTAGGATCTGTGTTGTTCATTTTATCTGCAAAGGCGTCTTCGTTTTCGTTCTTCAGAAATACGAACGGTTTGCATGACGACGATAATCAACTAGCAAATCTGGACAGATTTCAAGCAACAAATGATCATCGTCCATGTACACCCGCGAGCAAACTCGGCTTCCACTAGGGGAAAAAGTGGCGTAAGAGAAAGGCCTCCTACCACTTGGTATTTGGAATTACTGAAATGTATGCCAAATTAACATTCGATTTAACATTTATTTCACTACCTGTAATAAATTTACCAAGTGGTAGGAGGCCTTTCTCTTACGCCACTTTTTCCCCTAGTGGAAGCCGAGTTTGCTCGTGGGTGTACGACTACCCATACCAAACTGTTGTTAATTATCTCCCGCCGTTTATCAAGCGGCAGAGCAGAAAGTTTCCTTGGGCATTTCTCCGACACCATTCTTGTATTCGCTTCCCTTCCTTCATCAGCCCTTTATCGACTTTTTCTTTTTCTCGTTTAGTCTTTACTTACATAATTCGTTCCATCTGTTCTCAGTCCAATATCTACGCGAGACTAAATCGAAAGATATACGGTAAGAAACATAACGAATGAGAGAATGTTCAGACATTTTTTCTGTTTATTGTCGTATACATCAAATGGTGAAGGATCTAAAAAAAGTTACTTGTCTTGATTTTCAGTGTTTAATCTGTAACTTTGAACCGATAGATATTTGTCAGAGAAGCTTACCTCAAAATTATTTGTTACTGTAAAATTTAATGTCAAATTGTTGTTTAACATTTATGTGATGAGCGAACCTTACATGACAATGTGCGTAATGTATTAACCTGTCGGCGATAATTTCATGTTTCTTTAATTGAATTTCTGTTCTCACTAAAAAATATAGTATTCAGTTGTGTTTCAATCAAATGTCTATGGTGTTAAACATGTTGGTTCAGGTGTGTAACAGTCATATTGAATCATTCTTTATGCCCTACATTATACAGGGTGTCCCAAAAAGATGGGACAATTTGTAACATGGATATATTCCTTCTGCAAATACAAATCGAAATGTACCTACTTTACCGGTTTGTAATCTGAATCTGCATTTCCAAGAAATTAACAGTTAAACGAACTCGTACGTATGTGCCGAAAGTCAAGAAATGCACACCCCCGAGTCATTGGCCTCTGCTTTTTGACTGTGTCGGCGCGTACGCGTGGCCCATCGCTGAGCTGAATGGAGTTCGTTTAACTGCTAATATTTTGGCAACGGAATTTCAGATTACGAAACGGTGAAGGTTTGTATTTGCATGAGGAATATGCTGCTTGTCCCTTATTTTTGGGACACCCTGTACATGACACTTTATCGGACGAGAAGTTTTATATTCATCATTTTATTTTTAATGTAATATACGTATATAACTTACAACATAAGATCGTTATCTCTTTTTTTCTTTTTAATAGATTTATAAGAGAAGTATGAAATACGCGATTGTGCAATTACAATTTAATGAAATAGTAATCAATAATATTACAAAGACATTGATGGAAATTTTACCGACTATAAAATTTTAAAAACAGTGACGATGCAATGTAATGAGGAGAAGTAGAGCACATTAAAAATATGAATCGAACACGAACTAATTATGTGATATATTTTTTTTCTAACACTTTTGGAAAAAATAAATTTAAAAGAAAATTTCTAACGACGTGTATTCTTATATTAATTGCGAAGAATACTTAACGTAGTCTGGTCTCAACCTACGCTTAATTAAACACATAACGTAGAACGAGGTGCGCAACACATTACAGAGATACACAGAAGTCTCAATTATAATACTTGATATAAAATACTGTTTGAGATTTACAGAGAATATGTTATGTAAGTATTTTATGTTGTCCATGTACACTTTAGAAAGTTTTAGATTTTTATTTATTGTCGCTGCTTAGAGTGTCAAAAATTATATAAAAAATGGAAAACTTCCACGTTTGAGTGAAGAAACATGGAATGAGGATAGGTTTCAAAGCAAATGTTCCGTGGTCCTACCCATAACTTGACAGCTACTTAAAAATTTATTAATAACTTCTATGTAATTAACTGTACTGTATTGATAGTTGATACACTACAAAGATGGCAACACTTACCTGAAGTTATAGAAACATTACTTTTTGTCTCTTTCTTTCTACAAAGGAAATGCATCGCGTCTTTAAAAATCATAAAATTTTCCGAATCCGTAGTACGCCAAACACGACTATACGGTGTTTTTCTTTTAACTGGAAACGCAAGAATATCTCCTAAACTGTTGAAGATATGACAAAACAGTTCTTGGGTTATTCCACGCCAAATCGATCACGTTTTCCATTCTGAGTCAGGGATTTTGATGAAAATTAAATATGTTGTAGTTCATCCAAAATTAACGGGAAGACCCCTCCCCGAAGGTTTTTTTTTTAAATTAAGTCTTCATTTTGTTGGCACTGCATTGGTTTAAAAAGTACAGGCCAAGGCCGCCAAAGTTTGTAATTTTTGCCTACTTTCGTGCCGTCGTCACGTATGTACTATGTACTACGTACGTACGTACGCCATCTATGTACTACGTAATTCTGGTGAGTATAGGGATTTCGTGATTCGTCGCAACTATGTTTCTTGCACTGTAGCGTAAGTAGCTCCATCTAACAGACATTCGGTATTGGTTATTTATGCAGCATTAATACGTAGAAGGTAAAATACGGGTCAGTGTTTGTTGTCGGTCACGTGTTCCTCAAGTTTCTAGGTTGCCTAAGAAGCCACTTTTCAATACCGGTATATTGATAACATGTACTTATCGTATTCTCAACTTTTCAACGGTTGCATGAATAAACAGCCGCAGGTACAGTAGCCCATGTGATATTTCGCGGTTATAGATAACCAATAGAATACACGCACGTCGCAATATCCCCGTATTATAATTTCTCCGACAGCGGCACTTCTCGAAGGTACGCAAGGTGAGAGATAAGTAAGCCGAGTCCATTTACAGTGGCCGGTGATTTATCGGCCGTGGAATGTAAAATGTCGTTAATCGTTTTACATCCATCCTGTGCGCGCGCGTGTGTGTAACACTCCGCGGGCTGCCTATACGTATATAGGAGGTATATGCCCCCCATCTCTGTGTGTTCCCCCTCCATGCGTGTATCAACTGTATATGTACAGCGGGCGATACCGGCCACGTTCAAACTTCGATCGTTCGATTGATTTAAGGCGGCAGTAATCGTCTGACTGAAAAGACTGCGCTCCGCGTATGTACAGACGATATTTTCGTGTTTATGTACGCGCACGGTTGGACGTTAAAGTCCTTTCCCGTTTCAGCGGTTCTTACATATATTTCCAACGGTGTTTACGTTCTTACTAGGAGTCGCAGGAACACGAAAGGAGAGCCATCTACCAGAGGCTATTTG